GTGGGTCATAGAGGATCCTGCTGTGATTTATGTCGGACAGTGTTTTGCCTATGTTCTCCTCTAGGAGTTTGATAGTTTCTGGTCTTACATTTAGATCTTTAATGCATTTTGAGTTTATTTTTGTGTATGGTGTTAGAAAGTGTTCTAGTTTCATTCTTTTACAAGTGGTTGACCAGTGAAAACTCATTCTTTTATTGACCTCAAAAAAGTCATGTTTCTTTCTCTCACCTGATTTCCACTGAAGTTAGTTTTTGTTGGAATGAAGTAATGCTTCCAAGGTATTTGGTTCATAGACTGATAACTTGTAGGGGAGAAAATGAGTGACTCAATATCTCTGACTCTTTTTTCTCTATTGCCAAATCAGCATCACTCCCTCTGGTGTAATTAGCTAAATACTTTCTAGTTTATTTTCATGAAATCATCTTGAAATGTGGTAGTTGATCAATAGGAATTTATTGAACAGGATATGAATGAATAGTGAATAAAACAATGTTGATTTTAATAAGAATATAGTCTGATTAGTCAGTAAGACTAGAACGTTAAAAATGAGCCATATATAATATATAATTGAGTTCTGAAATTACAAGTTTCAAACCAGTAAGTTTATCAGGGTTTCAGAATTGGAGCGTACAAATCAATGAGAATAGTTAAGACTCACATTATTCCATTAATCATTAATTTGGTGTTTGAATTCATTCATTCACATTTATTTTGGGTGAGTTACATTTAATGTTTATACACATTTATCTCATCTCCTGTTCATAACCTCACCATTTTTATGGAGCAGAAAACTGTCGCTTATTCTTAAAGTCTGAGTCAATCATGCAGTTAAGTGGCAGAGTTTTGGAGCTGGGTTCTTCGGACAACAAAGCCCTTGTTTTACACTCTAACACGCTACCATTTTCTCTTTACTGTATCTCAAAGACGATATTGAGTTAAGTTTTAAGCAGTATATTTGTTGAATATCAGAAATAAAGGGACTCATACTTTTGAGTGTTTTTTCACTTACAGATGGGAATACATAAGTTGATATTCCTATAGCAGTTTAGTTGTAGGTACAAAATTATTACCTAAGTATATTAGTGCTTTTAGTTATTGACCTTATAAAGGCAATGAAGGAAAGAACACCTCTATTTTAGAAGACTATATAAGTAAGTACTAAAAGTTCGAGCATAAAAATGCACCTTTTCCCCCCTGAAACAAAGAAGTAGTCAGCCAGCATCGAGTTTTTGGGGGAGAATCAGTGAGAAATTAAGTATGATGGACAGGACATTGAAAACAGCAAGAGTGGTTTGCATTTGATGTGTGAATGCATGTATAAGACAGATTTAGAAATATGAAATTCAGAAGCCCCATTCAAGAATATAACAGAAAGATAGCCTAAAGTGATGAATGCTAAAATAAGAGTATGACAGGAAAAATAATTATGTGTGTCTATATACATAAATGTGTGTGTGGATGTATATGTGTATATATAAAATCCTAAAAGGGTCAGAGACACTTGGTGACAATAGTCTATATAGCCCATTGTCACATGATGAAGGGAAGAATTCCTAGTACAGTGAGGTGAAATTTTGAAGTTTTCATTCATTAATATGTTGAAGTAAAAGTTTCCACTTTAATGGCATGTACCTGAAATGTGATCATTGAACCTTAAGTATGGAAAGAATGACAGAAGGAAGGAAATTTTAAAATATATAAAACAATAGAAAAATGTTTAAACTTTTTCTTTTGTATTGGAGTATAAGCGATTAACAATGTTATGATACTTTCAAGTGAACAACAAAGGGATTCAGCCATACATATGCATGAATGAATCCATTCTCCTCCAAACTCTCTTCCCATAAAAATGAACAGGTTTAAATTTTGGTAAAAATATGAAACCAGTAAATCTCAAAGATTAAAGATCACTTGCTCTTAAACACAGTATTGATGCCTTGTAAAAATGAAATTTTAAATAAGCAAGATCCTGTGCTTTCTGGTGGTAGAGTATATTTATGTGTTTGATTGGAGCAGATTGCATTCTAAAAATTTTGACCTTTTAAATGGACTTTTTCAGGTGTGGGATACCACTTAATTATGGTAAAGGATCGTCATTGTGATGTTAAAGAAATCTCCAAAATGATTAAATATCACGTACCAGAAGCCAGATTGGAGAGCAATGTTGCAGCTGAATTATCATTTATCCTACCCAAGGAGTACGCAAACAGGTATGGATCCAGAGAATGTTAGATAATAGTTTGGGGTTATAAGAAATCAATATTACTTTTTAAAGCTTCCTGTGACTTGACAAATAGCTTGTGTGCAGCTGTCATTTGACAAATAATGATTAAAAAAAAAATTCCTAAAGATTTCACTGTCTGCACAGAGGGAAGTCATATAACTTGGCTTTCATTTAGTTTGTCTTGGGTATTTTTATTTCTTTTTTTTTTTAATTTTTATTAGTTGGAGGCTAATTATTTTACATCATTGCAGTGGTTTTTGTCATACACTGAAATGAATTAGCCATGGATTTACATATATTCCCCATCCCGGTCTCCCCTCCCACCTCCCTCTCCACCCGATCCCTCTGGGTCTTCCCAGTGCACCAGGCCCGAGCACTTGGTATTTTTATTTCTATTTCTTACAGTCTGGTGTTAAGTAGTGACAAGAAATGATAAGCTATTTGCACAAATTTTGTTCAACCGATTTGCTGAGATAATAAAAAAGTGGCCTATATGGTAGATCTTGCATTCAGAAGCCCTAGAAATACAGGAAACAGGCAATTTGACCATAACAGTTAACCAAGTTAGTTACCAGAAGGAGAAAGAAAATATTAATTGTACTTGGGATGTTTATCTTGATTAAGGGAAGAGGAAAATAAGAATACTTATGATAAACTTCCAGGGCCTATGCCAGTTTTATTCTCTTTCAAGTTGTAGTTAACAGCTTGATATTCTCTTGAAGCAAACTAATTGGCATTCTCAAAAGAAGATGAATAGAGGGGAACTTCTTCAACTTTCTAATGAACAAAATCCCGACAGCCTACATCATACATAATGGTGAGAAACTCAAAGCCTTCCCATTAAGATCAGGAACAAGAAAAGCAAGTCCTTTCTCTCCACTGCTTCCAACATCATGCTGGAAGTCCTAGCTAATGCAATAACACAAGACAAATAAATGTACATACATTGGGAAGAAAGGAATGAAACTCTGCAGATAACACAATCATCTTTTACATACTGTCCAAAAGAATTTACCAAAACAAACAAACAAACAAAAAACCCTTCTGGAACTAGTAAGTGATTGTAACAAGGTCGCAGGATACAAGTATGATATAAAAGTCAATAGCTTTTCTATGTATCAACAATTAGCAAATATAGTTTAAAATTACAAGCACAATGCTATTACATTAGTATTGCCAAAAGCAAAATACTTAGGTATAAAGCTGATAAAATACATACAAGTTCTATATGAGGAAAACTCAAAAATTCTAATGAATGAAGTCAAGATACTGAATAAATATGAAGATAGTCCACTTTTATGAATAGGAGGACTCAATACTGTCAAGGTGTCAGTTCTTTCCAACTTGATCTATAGGCTCAATGTAATTCTAGTCAAGATCTCTGTAAGTTATTTTGTGGGTATCAACAAACTGATCCCAAAGTTTATAAAAAAGTTTATTCAAATTAATCAACACAATATTGAAAGAAAAGAATAAAGTTAGAAGACTGACAGAAACCAACTCTAAGACTTACTATAAAACTAATATAATAAAGATGGTGTAGTATAGAATGCCAGTTTTATTCTCTTTCAAGTTGTAGTTAACAGCTTGATATTCTCTTGAAGCAAACTAATTGGCATTCTCAAAAGAAGATGAATAGAGGGGAACTTCTTCAACTTTCTAATGAACAAAATCCCGACAGCCTACATCATACATAATGGTGAGAAACTCAAAGCCTTCCCATTAAGATCAGGAACAAGAAAAGCAAGTCCTTTCTCTCCACTGCTTCCAACATCATGCTGGAAGTCCTAGCTAATGCAATAACACAAGACAAATAAATGTACATACATTGGGAAGAAAGGAATGAAACTCTGCAGATAACGCAATCATATTTTACATACTGTCCAAAAGAATTTACCAAAACAAACAAACAAACAAAAAACCCTTCTGGAACTAGTAAGTGATTGTAACAAGGTCGCAGGATACAAGTATGATATAAAAGTCAATAGCTTTTCTATGTATCAACAATTAGCAAATATAGTTTAAAATTACAAGCACAATGCTATTACATTAGTATTGCCAAAAGCAAAATACTTAGGTATAAAGCTGATAAAATACATACAAGTTCTATATGAGGAAAACTCAAAAATTCTAATGAATGAAGTCAAGATACTGAATAAATATGAAGATAGTCCACTTTTATGAATAGGAGGACTCAATACTGTCAAGGTGTCAGTTCTTTCCAACTTGATCTATAGGCTCAATGTAATTCTAGTCAAGATCTCTGTAAGTTATTTTGTGGGTATCAACAAACTGATCCCAAAGTTTATAAAAAAGTTTATTCAAATTAATCAACACAATATTGAAAGAAAAGAATAAAGTTAGAAGACTGACAGAAACCAACTCTAAGACTTACTATAAAACTAATATAATAAAGATGGTGTAGTATAGAGAGAATAGAAAAATAGAACAATGGAACAAAGCAGAGGACCTAGAAAAAAAATATATATATATATAGTCACCTGGTCTTTGACAGGGAAGGAAAAGCAATGGAGAAAAGATACTTCAACAAATGGTGATGGAATGAACAATCAGACATCAACAGGCAAAGAAAACAACCTAGACACTTAAAATGGGAAGCCTAAAATTCAAACAAAAAACTATGAATCTCCTAGAAGATAACATAGGAGGAAAACTAGATGACCTTAGGTATGGCAATGACATTTAAATCACAGCACCAGCAGCACTTTTCTTGACAGGAATAACTGAAAACCTGGACTTCAATGAAATTAAATTTTTGTTCTGTGTTTGGCAATATCAAGAGAATTAGAAGACAAGACACAGAATGGAAGAAAATATTTGCAAAAAACACATTTAATTAAAAAAAAAAGTTACACAGCATATACAAAAAACTAGCAAAAGCAAGGGAATTCCTGTTTTTTACTTCTGCTTTATTGACTACACCAAAGCCTTTGACTATGTGGATCACAATAAACTGTGGAACAATGTTAAAGAGATGGGAATACCAGACCATCTTACCTGCCTACTGACAAATCTGTATACAGGTCAAGAAACAACAGTTAGAACCTGACATAGGAAAGCAGACTGGTTCCAAATAGGAAAAGGAGTATATCAAGGCTGTATATTGTCACCCTGCTTATTTAACTTATATGCAGAATACACCATGAGAAACGCTGGGCTGGAAGAAGCACAAGCTGGGATCAAGATTGCCGGGAGAAATATCAATAACCTCAGGGATGCAGATGACACCACCCTTATGGCAGAAAGTGAAGAACTAAAGAGCTTCTTAATGAAAGTGAAAGAGGAGAGTGAAAAAATTGGCTTAAAGCTCAACATTCAGAAAACTAAGATCATGGCATCTGGTCCCATCACTTCATGGCAAATAGATGGGGAAACAGTGGAA